CTCGTGCGGTTCCCGTGACCCACTTTGGCACTCCTATCCGCCAGACGGAAGTGCAATAATCCATACATATATGATGCACAATATGTCCCAGTACAGGCGGAACTTTGCGCCCACTTCCGCGTACTGGCCATGGGATCGGATGGTCCAAGGTCATTCATCGAACCGATGAATCCTTGCAAAAAGTGGACTCTTCGGTTTCTCTGATGCTAAATATTTAGTTCCGGATCATCCCCAGGAATCGCTCACAGCTGTTTTCGTAACCATAGGCATGCAAGGCGTGTAAATGTTTGTAAGCCAATTTTAATCTAATAAAATTCTAACTTGACTCAGAGGCCTAGGGGAATAAAGCAAAAGAGACAAACAATATCCATTCCCCAGTCTCGATGCAATTTCTGTTGTTTTTTCCCCTTAGTTAGAATTAAAATGTATGTTGACCAGCATAGGAAACGTCAAGTTCTGTATTAAAAGGCGCTGGAATATAATGTTTCGCATCGCTGTTTGTGTTATGTTCTAATCAAGCTACGATGAACTAAGAGCAAGAGTTAGATACAGGTGAAAAAGGTTGTCGTTAGCATCAAGCCTATGAGACAAGACCGAATGGTAGTGTGGGTATTCATTAGAACTTTGCATATCGATGTAGAGGAAATCTACAAATTTGCATTTTTGTACATGAAGCATCAGCAAGGATAAGTTAGATCTTTGCACACAAGACCGTTTTTCTGTAGCTTTTCTTTCACTGTTACATGACTTTAATCAAAAAACACTTCTAAAATTCAGTGTGGTGAAAAGAACATTGTTTCCACGAAGAAAAAGAAAACGTACGAAATGGCGTTTGCTAGGTTGTTATATTGGTTTAAGTGTTCAGCATTTGCTACCCATAATAACTTTCGGGGTTGCCACGTTCACTTCTACCATTTATCCCGAAAACCTTTGTCGAAACAGCTGTATATCTAAACAGGCATTTCAATACAATTTTACAAATAATCGTAAGGTCAATTCAACAGGTTTGTTTGATTGCAATGTTTAGCAAATAGCTAATTTAGAATTGATGACGTATATACAGTCTTGTACCGGTAATGATTAAAATAAGAAAGAGGTAAGGCTTTTAAAAGTTTCAGTGAAAAACGTTTCCTTGGCTGATTAAGATTTTTGGGAAAAAGTAAAGACAAAACTTTGTAACATCGGCGCTAATTTCAGCAACGTTTTATTTTAACAAGGGAATAACCATTCGATCAGTAACGATTTAGCTTTCTTTATAAGAGCTACAATGACCCAACTACAATAGAACTGTACCCAGCAGGACAACTAAAAGTCATCAGGTGTCTACAATGGGAGAGAGACTAAGAACACATTCTACAGCAAACGGTAAATGGCAGATTGGCGATGATTCTGGGTATAACATCGTCACGCTATAACCTGGTCATAATCTGTTGTTGTCTTTCGGTTTTGATATCGATGCCACTGAAGATAATCAGTGTTACTTGATTTTAGACTTGAAACAAGCAGACTCTGAAAAACTGATATTAATAGCCAGTTCACATTAGGCACCACGAAGTGTGCTGCAGATTTAGCGTTTGGGAAGTTTCCTTGTCACGTAGCCCTTCCCGGCACCTAAGAGCCCTCTGGGGCCAAAAACGTCAGTTAATTAAACGAAAAAAGCTTACACTCCAACAAGATTATGCTTTCTTTTGACCTGTTGTAGTTATCGCTTTCCTGGCCCAGGTCGTCTTTGGTGACATTTATACTCCAGAGGTTCTAACAAAACATCAAATTATCAAACTTACTCCCTTTAAAAAGTGCAAATTTCAAAATGATGCCGACAACAATAAGAGCTTGCTGACTGAGGGAGGGCCTTGCTCGAGCGAGAGTCAAATATTTCCCGTCGGCGTCCTGACCGACCGCACCCTAAGTACATATATAGTAACATATTGAGCTTGATATGGAGCTTGATTTCGTTGATATGTTGTAAAAATTGTCGTTGGTAAATGTTCTAAATAGGCTATTAATTTTTGAAAAATTAAAATTCTACCATGATGACTGGGCTTACGGAACTTACAGAAGAAAATTTAGTAATTCATCCCTCAACCTCGATGTGTTCAAGCTCAACGCCAACTTTAATTTAAATATAACTTTAATATATCGAACTTGGCCTATTGCGCACGCTAAATAACTGTTGACATGACCACGGCCGGATTTTAGTTTAGCAAAAATCTCGGTGTCAACCTCAGGTCAACCCGGCCGGCCTGAGTCAGTTTACAGTGTTGTTTCCATAGGTTCAGACCAACGAGGCTGTACGGTGGTATCAGAGAAATTAATATTTTCTTATCCGAAGTCTTTTTGAAGCATGGAAGCACCTATCTGAAAAGTAATTAACTCCCTTAACACAAGAAAATTCAAACAAAGTGGGAAGTTTCGTTAAGCTACAAGACAACGCTTTGTCCACGGTAAGTCACAGTTTAGGCCCAGTCTACACTAGCACTCGTTCCATCCGTCATGGTGACTGAAGTTCCCCTATCCCCTAGGTAGCGGTTTGTAATTAGCATTGCATTTTATGATTTTATTTCCGAGTTTTTTCAATTATCAATCTCCTCGAAAATGGGCACAGCACAAAACCGCTAGGAAAACTTAAACACAACTCCAATTGTAAACGACTGCTGGGATGAAACCAGTGTTAACTTGAATCAGAAAAGTCAACTACCCAGCTACCAACATCTAGGTAGAGCACTAAGTGCCATCTGTCGTACAGGTCGTAGGAGTGGAAATACTCTTTCTTTACTGAGAAGGAATCGGATCACGCTGTTAACTTTTTCTGACAGTGCCGTTGATGATTGTATACCCCTTTTGCTGTAGGAAACACCTCCAGGCACCGCACACACATGCGCGATTTACACCCAGAGCATGTCATGTGATAGCAACCCTCATTCTTTTGAACTGGCATCTTACATATGGGACAGGTCTTCCTACTGCTTGGGTCCTTCATCATCCATTCTTCCAGACGTCCCTCCACCTGCTTTCCTGATTTAAACATGGCACAAGTGAGCCCGTTGTGCCACTGCACCTGGCAAGACGTGCAGATCTCGGCCTGACATGCACAGCAAGTGAAGCGTCTTCCTTCCGTTGAGACACGGTACACCATACCGCAGTCGGCAGTTGGACAATACTTGACAATTTCAGGATTCCTTTTAAAATACTCATCTACGGCACTAACAGCACAGCAAGCTTCTTTCTCTCCTTTTCGCTCAGCAGATTCTGCACAGCAAATCTCTCCACACAAAGAGCTCTTCACAATCCTCTGATGCACACTTCAGATTTCAGTTGCTGGATAACACAGCTCTTGTAAAAGGTATGGCCACAACAAGCGAGTCTGTACAAGTCGGCTGCCTCGTCCACATCACACACGCAGATACAACAAGTCAGCTGAGTTTGATCATCCAATGTTGAAAGGGACGATTGCTGGGGAAGATTTTTGCAGCACTCTTCCACGCAATGGTTGATTGTTTCCCGAGCCTCCTCAGAACTCTGAATCTTAAGTTCGTGGTTGCGGAATTCAACATGGATCTTTTGGACACCAGGAATACCTTGCAATCCTTTCAGATCGACGCCAAATCTCTTAAAGAGAGCTTTCAGCAGCCCACGTGGCTTGTTAGGTTCCCGAATCTGCGTCACTTGTGATGAAGTCATCAAGAAACTTGTTGATAGCAAATTTTGCTGATTCCCGTCTGGCTTCAACACTAACCTGGGTTTCCTTGACAGTGTCAATGATTGCGGTTTTTCTTGCGTATATTGGATGGGCTGCCTCAAACCTGTGGCATTCTCTACCAACAGCGGACCTCAGTTCCTTGATTGTACGCCTTACACTTGACAACGACTGACATCTTTGGTCACGCAGGCAAGAAATTATCTGAGATTCAAAGCGTTGAAATTCATCCTTGTGTAGCTCTAGCTCCTCTTTCTAATCCAAACGTAGGTGCTTTGATAGGCATAGAAGACCACAAACCTCGTTGATCTTTTTAGTATGTTGCTCTGTTGCTGCTGTCATCGTTTCTTGAAGTTCCTTTTGGCAGTTAGCCAGTAACGTTTCTGCTGTAATCTACCGTGGGAAAAAATATGGCGGCTCTACATTTTACCACAATGCCGTGCGAACCTAACACAGCCTACAAGTCACAAAGAAAGCCAAATTTTTACAATATTTTCCCTGTGTTAGGGACATTGAGTAGCCTAAGTCTGAAGATGTTATAACGTTTCTGCACGTTTTTATGAACGTTGTTAAGGTTTTCGTGCGCTTAGAGTTATGGGTAAATGTACTAGTCGCCACCTTTTTTCCTACGGAGGCTCTGAGGAATGGCTGTTGCTATGACGATGTTAATAAGAATTTTCATCGCCTTGTTTATCACCATGAACTTGTAAATCATCACTTGCATGTGGAATTATAGCTTCTTCATCATCATGAACGTTTGCTGTTTGGGCTGATGGGTTCTGGGATCTGCCATTTAGACCGTCAACTCGTTGGCCATTTCTTGCAGCATCTATGAATTAACCCATGAAATAATCTTCTTAGAAGCATAACAACATGACAGGCGTTATTCCGGTTGCATTTTAAACGTTAAACCTGTAGGCCATGTTTGTGAAACAAATGATTCAAACAAACACACCTCAGTTGAGACTCCCACCTGACAGGCACCTCACCTTGGAATAGAGATATTCAGATTCCATTCAAGACCTGCACCCTAACTGCTCTGCCACACTGCAGTTTTACAGTACTCGATGTATAATCAAAATTAAACTTTCTTCCAAAGGCATCAGAGTACCCAGATTTAAGGTATCAGTGTACCCCAAATGATCATCATTCTTTGGCGCCACTTTACGGTCGGACGTTTGACGCAAACCCCAGTAAGGTATATATTTTCTGAAAGCTTAACAATTGTAGATAACGAAGGTATATTCATTAACATAAAAAAAAATTAAGGTTTTCCAAATGTAGCGCGCTATTTCTCAAAGTACAGTGGTTCACTAATCAAGTTCGTTTCCGGTCGGATTTAAGCGAGAGAACACGATCAACATCGCTACACGTTTCTCTAAAACAAACGGTGTCGGGAAATTTTGATTACTTGTCTGGTTTGTTTTTGACACGCAGTTAAACTTTGAGAGTACATAAAACATGCCTTCTCTTCACTAAAATAGTCATAACTTTCGAAAGAAGCAAAAACTAAAAAATCCCCGACACCTTTTTTTTTTGCCTGATTATCGGGCAACGTTCTCTCCAAATTTCAGCGAAACACGATGAAAACTCGCCGGAAACGAACTCAAAATGTACGCTTCACCCGCCATTTCGAGATATGAAGGAAAATATACTTTGGGCGTTCTTCCGGTGTAATGAGATAATTACACAAAACGTGGGGAAATTAATGACCCGTTAATCGATTAAGTGAAGGCTTATTCTACTTTAACATTAGAGCTCATATCAATTACAAAGCGGGCTCAAATGTTACTCCTGGCGGGAAACATCCTTTGCAAGATCTGAATTCCGCCGCTCGCGCAACAAGGTTAGTAAGGAAATAATTTTCGTTCAATCTTTCGTTTCCATTTTTTAAATGCCCAAGCTAATGTGGATTGACATTCCATCTAACGAAATAGGTTGAGAGATGCCGAAGACAGGTAAAAAGCGTTCGCGTATACAAGGGAAAGGAAACCCCCGGGGACGTACGCGTGCAGATCAAGAAGTTACTACTTCGAACGACGAAAGCGCCAAGGAACTTATGATTAGAGCAATCAACTTCTCCTGCTCAAAGTAGGAACCTTGGTCGCTAGTAGCTAACACATCAGCTCGATCCTTATCGAATGAGTTCGAAAGCTTTTTCCTCCGTGAAGGCTTCTTCGCACTTGCAAAAGGACAAGGACTTTTTGCGTTTTTTCTTCGGCGATATGGAATAGATATACCATAAGCTTTCAAATCTATAATCTAAAAAAGCAAAACACTCGAAACAACACGTCGACGACCAATTTTAAAACACAAACACAAACGTGTGAAAATCGCACAACACCGCGTCTGTCACGTGATCTTTTAATGCAAATTTACTTCTCATGACAACATGTTCACAGCCTAAATTTTTTTTTAAAATTATCAAATTTGGGGTACACTGATACCTTAAATAGATTCACAAAATGCTATAAGGCGCCTTACCTGGTCTATTGGACAGGTACTCCTTACAGGCCAGGTAATCGTCTTCTGAAATAGTTGTTTTCAACGTAATGGACTCCACATTGAATTTTCTCTTAATATCATCCGTCACTAGAAGTTCTTCCGCCATGCGATTTAGCTGACCAGAACGATAGTCTTGCCACAGACGTTCGAGACTTTCCAGAGTTAGGCACTTGACTTCTATTCTTAAACTATCCTCACTCGGTGTTACATTATGAATCAAATTCAGAGGCTGGGTGTTCTGAGATTGTTCCTTAATAGGAATGGTAGCTGCCATTTCTTCTGCCCCTGCCTCCAAGAAATTTTCAGATGCCACCTGTTGCATTCCTTGCTGAATAGTATGTTCTGCTTGTGTGTCTGCTAACAGTGAACATGTAAGATACAAGAAACAAACCCATTACATCAACAATGTTTCTCTTGAGGCCTGCTCTTTTAATCAGGAGAGAGGTTGCCATAGCCGAGTGTGTAATGGGTTAAAGATTCAAGTTTGAGTCCAGGATAGCCCAGGCTAGTCCAGGCTAGGTTCAGACCCTTTATCCCGGAGGGTGGGGACTCCCATAAGAAAAGGTCAGGGATAATCATCGTCTCACTTAGGGGTGCAAATCAAGGATTTTGGTCTCACTTAGGGTGGTCAGGCCACTATTTTTAGCTGTTAAAGTATCGTTTAGGGTGCACTCAGAGCTAACGATTAAAGAACGCTCTCATTTCTGTTTTCAGGCTTAATTTCTGCCATTCTGTCAAGTCCAGTCTACTAGCCAAGGCTCCTTTCCTAAACGGCAGCTGGTAATCAAGCCTATTCTGTTTTAAGGGGTTTATCTTTTAGGGGTCAAATAAAGCCCTAGCCACACCCAGACTGGTCTCCTTTAGAGGTTAGATTCAAATTTTCCCACGGGCATCACCGCCGCAGGCAAGTGTTTCCACAGCTTTTTCGAGTTCTCCCAAACTTTCACGAGTGTTGCTATGACTCGATAGAAACACGGAGAACATGTTTTTCTATTTCTTTTAGAAAACACCGTGACAAAAACAAGGAAAACAACTTGTTAACTTTGATTATCAAAATGTAAATCTCTTTGCTCATGCCATCATTATGTCAACAGCTCATGCTAGTTCTGTCTTTCTATCGAGTTACAGAAACACGATTTTTAACCAATCAGCTCACGTATTTTCTTAGGAATGTTTTCTGATAAAGATTACTTCATAATAACAATAAAAATAATAATAATAACAATAATGTCATTGTCTTTGTCATTGTCATTGTCACTGTCATCGTCAGTGTCATTGTCATTGCCACTGTTATTGTTATTATTATTATTTATATACTTGATCATGTCATCATTTAGGAAGTGTATCTAGTGCCTTATTATTCTCACCTGTTATATCCATTAGAGAAAGTTTACATTGCAAATAATCATCTTCCATAACAGTTGTCTTCAACTTGACTAACTCTATGCCAAATCTTCTTCGAATGTCATCAGTCACAAGGCATTCCTCAACAACTGCATTAAGGTGATCAGAGCAATAGTCTTCCCACAGGCGTTCAAGAATTTCAAGGGTGCGACACCCAACTGTGATTAGTAAACTACCGTCACGGGCTGCCACTATTGGTGAGTTTAGAATTCCTTCTAGGTAACTGCAAAGTTGACAAGGTATATTCTCAACTGGCACTCCATCTGCCCTTGTCTCAAAGAAAGTTTTGGTCATCTCAAACATCNATCAAATTTGGGGTACACTGATACCTTAAATAGATTCACAAAATGCTATAAGGCGCCTTACCTGGTCTATTGGACAGGTACTCCTTACAGGCCAGGTAATCGTCTTCTGAAATAGTTGTTTTCAACGTAATGGACTCCACATTGAATTTTCTCTTAATATCATCCGTCACTAGAAGTTCTTCCGCCATGCGATTTAGCTGACCAGAACGATAGTCTTGCCACAGACGTTCGAGACTTTCCAGAGTTAGGCACTTGACTTCTATTCTTAAACTATCCTCACTCGGTGTTACATTATGAATCAAATTCAGAGGCTGGGTGTTCTGAGATTGTTCCTTAATAGGAATGGTAGCTGCCATTTCTTCTGCCCCTGCCTCCAAGAAATTTTCAGATGCCACCTGTTGCATTCCTTGCTGAATAGTATGTTCTGCTTGTGTGTCTGCTAACAGTGAACATGTAAGATACAAGAAACAAACCCATTACATCAACAATGTTTCTCTTGAGGCCTGCTCTTTTAATCAGGAGAGAGGTTGCCATAGCCGAGTGTGTAATGGGTTAAAGATTCAAGTTTGAGTCCAGGATAGCCCAGGCTAGTCCAGGCTAGGTTCAGACCCTTTATCCCGGAGGGTGGGGACTCCCATAAGAAAAGGTCAGGGATAATCATCGTCTCACTTAGGGGTGCAAATCAAGGATGCTGGTCTCACTTAAGGTTTTCAGGACGAAACGCTACTATTTTAAGCTGTCAAAGTATGTTTTACGTAGCACTCAAAGAGATAACGATTACAAAACGCTCTCATTTCCGTTTTGAGGCTCAATTTCTGCCGTTCTCTCAAGTCCAGTCTACTAGCTCAGGCTCTTTTTCTGAACAGCGGCTGGTAATCAAGCCTATTCTGTTTAAGTGGTATTTTCCCGAGGAGCATAACAGTCCTTTTCATATGGGAGTTTCCTACTGGGCCCCTTATTCCCCCAGTACCTCTCTCCTCCAACCAGGAGTTTTGTCAGGATGAGCTGACGAAATGCTGGTGGGTAATTACCTACAATCTATCAGAAAAAGAAGTTATCATGCAAAGAACCCAGCAATTCTTAGATATTTCTTTGCTACCGAAAGAACCCAGTTAAATGCAGCGCATGCACAGTTAGTAAAAAAATTGACACTCAGAGAGCCATGATTAGCTTTCTCGGAAATACGCCAGCCATATTTCTCGAGAACCATTCGCTAGAATTTCACAAAATTTGGCAAGAGAATACTTTGGAAAATACGGAAATGGAGTATCGCAAAAAATTCAAATCTAACAAAGGAAATTCTTGATATTCCAGTTATCCTTCAACAAAGGATAACTAACTATCCGTCTTTGCTAAACTATTATTAATATCGCGTTACCATGTTGCAATCGTGTTATATGCAAATGATGAAGACACTCTAATGACGAGATTTATTGCAAAAATTATAAACAAAACCAATTTTAAAGGCCTGTTTATATTTATTTATGTTGCCATGGCAATGGCACATAAATCAGCAGACCTATCAGAAACAATGTCTGTGTTGTTAACTTGCATCGCGCCATTTTTGGCGATCTAAAGGAACAAGGGTTTTAGAGAAAAAGGTGAATAAAACACAGGTATCAAAAACTGTGTTCGGCCACCTTAAGCAAGTATTCATCTTTCTTCTGCTGTCACTTCTATAAGCCAATGTCTTTCAACACTGGTAAGCAAAACAAGTCTAACCCATTCCTCTGGAGATACAAGTAAAAAGGTAAAGGAAAAGTCTGCATATGAGCGAAGTGGCGCAATTAGGCCGGTGCTTATCTCGCAGTTTCAGTAGCATGAAGCAGCTAGGAGTATTTCTACTCTCCCCTGGATGAGCAGCATTAAATTCACTGGCATTCATACACCTGGTTGGAGAGAGGCATTGTGAGAGTAAAGTCAGGGGGGGACTCCCATATAAAGAGGCCAGGGGTGCTCGTCAGAAATTTTGAAATGAACTTCTAAGAGGTACCAAGATTCTGTTTTGTGGGTGTGGCCTGAAATGTTTTTCACCCCTAAGCAGGTACTAATTTCAAAACAACACATTATCTCCTGTCATATGGGCTCCATTAATACCCTAAAAGGTACCACAAAAGCTCCTGCTGTGGACCTTTCGAGGCTGAACACCCTAGGAGGTACCAAAACTGCGTTTTTACCCCCTAAAAGGTACGACGAGTATCTGCGCCATTTTAATTGGGGAGTTCCCCCCTCATTTCCCCTTCTCCCCAAAACAAATATCCTCCCTCGGGATNCCCCCCCCCCCCCCCCCCCCCTGGGAGTAAAGTGTCTTGCCCAAGAACACAATGGCCCTGGCCAGGGCTCCAACCCAGATTGTTCAATCAAGAGGCCAGCACGGTCTGACCATTTAAGGCCACCACACCTCAGGAGATATAGGCTTCCTCATTAAAGATTTTTAATAATAATAAGAACTTAATTAAAATCTCCTCAGAAAACCTATTTACATTTAAGAAATAGAAAACATGTGCCCTGTTCTATCCAGTTATAGAAACATGAGTGGAAGTTTGGGCGAACGAGAAATGCTGTCTGAACATGAGCCCCAGGCGAGTGTTTCCAACAACTTTTTTGAGTTCTCCCAAACTTTCTCGAGTGTTTCTATAACTCGATAAAAACATGGGGAATATGTTTTTCTATTTCTTTTCAAATTCTCTTTGCTCGCACCATCATTACGTCAACAGCTAGTGCTAGTTCTGTATTTCTATCAAGTTACAGAAACACGATTTTTAACCAATCAGCATGCATATTTTCTTACAACTGTCTTTTAATAAAGATTACTTAATAATAATAATAATAATAATAATGTCATTGTCTTTGTCTTTGTCATTGTCACTGTCATTGTCAGTGTCATTGTCATTGCCATTATTATTGTTATTATTATTATTTATATACTTGATTATGTCATCATTTAGGAAGTGTATCTAGTGCCTTATTATTCTCACCTGTTATGTCCATTAGAGAAAGTTTACATTGCAAATAATCATCTTCCATAACAGTTGTCTTCAACTTGACAAACTCTATGCCAAATCTTCTTCGAATGTCATCAGTCACAAGGCATGCCTCGACAACTGCATTAAGGTGACCAGAGCAATAGTCTTCCCACAGACGTTCAAGAATTTCAAGGGTGCGACACTCAACTGTGATTAGCAAACTACCCTCATGGGCTGCCACTACTGGTGAGTCTAGAATTCCTTCTAGGTAACTGCAAAGTCGACGAGGTATATTCTCAACTGGCACTCCATCTGCCCTTGTCTCAAAGAAATTTTTGGTCATCTCTAACATCAGTTTTTGCTTTACTTCATCCAGTTCTCTTGGATCAACATTTTGTTCATCTCCAAAGGTAACACTGTCTACGTCAATTGCAATGGTTAAAGTGCCTTAAAGAAAACAAAATAGTTACTGTTAACTTTGCCAATGAAAAAGAGCTAGTACCTTTCAATTTGCCAGCAGGTGCCTGGCCTTTATTGAAATTCCTCACTGTTACGGGTTTAGTGTTTTCTCCTGTTGGTTGAGATTTCCTAACCTAAAGGAATACTCTTGATGGTCAGTGTGTACAATATAATATCTGGAACTGACAAGCTGACCTCTTGTAGAGGTATTAGTGGTTGCAAAATCATCCAGCTTTCTGCTGATATTTCCAACTTCATTCTCAAGTTCATGTAGCATGTCCTTAATGTTGTCATCATCCTTTTTCCATTCCTTAAGGAGCTCTGTATAATATTGCTCAGTCTCAGGGTCCATGCATTCAACTTGAAGACCGTCAATTTTTTTTTCGTAGGTTTTTCCTCCTAATCTCACCAGAGTGTTACGGATGTTCCGCCATTGAGTACTGAACTCTGAATCAGATATAGAAGCCTTCTCTGCATGACCATATATGTCATTTCTGAAACATTTCAGACGAGCAATATCAGCCTCGTGGCTTGTGTCTGTAGTAGGAGGAACTCTGTCCCATGATCGTGTCGTTGTAGGAGGTTTCAACCCACAGATATGCTTTAGAAGAACTATCAAAAGAGTGATATCAAAGTTTTCCAATGATACTGATGTAGCTATGGCAGGGTACAGTTTGTTCCATTGTGTTGCATTGAGTACTCTTTGCTTCCTCAGTGTTTGTAAAGTAGACCTATTTGCTGCCAAAACTGTGTGAAGTCTTGCTGGTGCATGGATGTTATCAAATGTATCTCTCAGGGCCTGAGAGCCAATATCAATTAAAAGATGGCACAGTTGAGTGTAATTAGTTGCTTCCTTCTTAGGTGCTCCATTTGGTGTGGAAGAAGCCATCAAATGGCTGGTTCCAGCCAATCTAATCAGATATTCAAAAGAAATAAAAAAATACCAGCTGAGTGTATATTAAAGTCTTGACTAAATAGTAACCTCAACTTAACTATCAATCCGGTAAACAATTAAAAGTTTGCTGTTATATGGGTTGACCTGTATAATTCCCAAATTGTAAGTTTGATGCTTGATTTTATTGCTCCATTCATTGTGGTTTAAAGCAAATGTAATTCAAATCACTCATTAAAATTACGTTAAAACGTGTTATAACAGTGAAACTTTTATGTTGTCTTTGAACATGGGGAGGCATTTGGTGGTTCAACTGTTTATTCCAGATTATGTAAAAGTGCGATATATTTTTCTGGTCATTTATTTGAAAGCCACATGTGTGACTGGTCAAAACAACCACTCGACTGTGATTATTAGAGCAATTGCCAATTTGACCAGACATTGTCTGCCCACCCTGTAATTTTAATCCCTAAAAAATGGCTGTGCACATGCATTATAATTTACAGTACATTTCTTTCCCGTCCTCTGCAAAACAACAATGTAACATGACCACTTCTGTATTGTCTGAAGAATATGAACCATGACAGATAATTTTCACAATTTATATTTCAAATTTTAAGCTGTGTTCTTTATTCAGTTTCAAGATAGTTTTGACAAGGAGAAAAAAACTAAATGACTTTAAAGTACTGCGAAATTCGTAGGTAAAATAAAAATTCATTTTTTTGGCGTTGCCCTCAGCATCAGCGTCATAGTTACTTAAATTCAACCCTATTTGCATGTGTGAGACTGCTTTGTATCCATGCCAACCCTCGTGGATTATCCTAGTCGACTCCTGGCATAGGCGTATGGGGTGGGGCTGCAGCCCCCCAGTTTCAGACATATTTGAAATTTTTCGGACAAAACGCTGATGATTTGGGCAAAACTACTCGGGAGAATTCATTCCAAAATGATGTCAAGGCTAGGCTTGTAGCCGGCTACTTTATCTTACGTTTGCCTTGCCAAAATAGAGTTAAGCTCAAATGATGAAAGGATCCAGGTATTTTGTTTTGGAAAAGCCATATGTCATTTAAATCTGTATCGTGGAAAATTATTTCCATCAACAAAACAATGACAAAAGAATCAAAGCAAACCATAGTAATAGAGGGAAATGGTTATGAAATCCGACAAAATTGTTTGCTTTAGGTTTTTGTTCACTTTTTTGGCCATGACCGTGCATAAAACACAGAGTTGTTTCCTCTGTACTGAGGAACTAACCAATAGAAACATTTTGGTTATGTAATTCATGCATAGTGTATGAATGAAAAACAAAAGATTCTACACGGTCATAAACCTTCCAACATAAATCTTGGCATCTTTGTTTGCTCCTTTGATGTTTGCCGGACTTCATGACCACTTCCCTCTAAAAACTTTGAGCAAACGAAGACCAAGACTTTTATTTTTGTGGTGGCTCTGAAAAGAGCCATTTTGAATGGCTCCACAAAGAGCCGTTTTAAAATTTTCTTGAACTTTTCGTACGAGGAAGAATTAACAACCAATTTGGTGTCCAGTTGTTTCAATACAAAGTCGCTTTGATACAAAGTCGTTTCAATACAAAACTTTAAGATACCGGCAGCCAAAATTATTATAGAATTTCTACATTTAGAATTGACAAATGATACTAAATGTTTTTGTTTTGTAGTGGACGATGGCTCATCTGACTTCCCTTCAAATCGGGCTTGCTTCAGAGAAGAAGTTCAGCGTATTCAGCTAGCGGAAAAAGTTCTGAGAACTCCAGACAAACATGACTTTTCTCATTCTGGGATAACATTCTTTCGATCGATCACTGTCGTACGCGATGCGAAGAGAAAAAAACTTTCATTGGGATATTTTTTCTAGTAAACTTTTGCTATGAAACGACGTCAGTCTGTATTGAATTTCTCTCAGTTCGTACGCGCTCTGTGATTGCTCAATTTAGTGGCCCATATTCTCCTGTACGGCCACTAAAATTTAAAGCTGTTTTTGTTGCCAAATTGTTTCGTGATTTATCACCAAGTGTTCTTAACTTTTTTAGCAAGTAAAAGTTTAAAACTTTCTTTTACTTCTAAAATTGTGTATTGAAACCTGCTTACGTCTTAAGAGTCACTTAACAATGATTTCAAATTGAGTCGCTTTGCTTTTGAGGTGCGTCATAAATTTGAAACCGTTCTGCGTAAATAGATCGTTTTCACGTGACGTCATCACTTTCTAAAATCCAAAACGAAAGAGCCACCAAAGTTTTTGTCCTCATCAGGCACAAGGGGTGGTATATTCATATCTGTTTACAATTTTACAGCTCAATAGCGTGCTTCGCTTGGAATCCAGAGCATTTTGAATTTCAGGGTTATGGAGGTGCGTGACACAAGGCTAT